AAACCCTAAACCCCTAAACCACAAGCCTTGGGCGCAGGAACCCAAGATCCGAGCTTCGAGCCAAGGCGTCTTTTTTTTGGGGCCGGGCTCAGGTTTAGGGGTTTAGGGTTTATAGGGTTTAGGGTTTGGGATTTAGGGTTTAGGGTTTAGGGTTTAGGGGTTTAGGGTTTAGGGTTTAGGGTTTACCCAATAGGCCCCATAGTAGTTCCTTTAAGAGGTCTAAAGGGGTCTATGGGGTTTAGGGTTTAAGGGGTTTTAGGGTTTAGGGTTTAGGCCCCATAGTCCTTCCTTTTTTGTGGCTCAGATTAAGGACCCTATTAGGTACTCCCCAAAAGGAACTACTATGGGGCCTATGGGTAGTGGCTTAGGAATTAAAAGGGAAATCTGTGGATTAGACAGCCTAGTCTTTATGCCCACTGATGGCTCAGAGCGTTTGTGCTGTCTGGGGTTAAGGGTCTAGGCGGTGAGGCTGAAGTATAGGGAGTTTGTGTTTGGGGGGATTTGCATAGTTGTCCTCTTTCACACTCAGGGCGGCTTGGAACCAGAGCCAAGAAGCCTATGGCAGATGGTTCTTGTTTGCTTCAGCATTTAGCATGTCGAGAAGCCGAAACTCCGTGATATGGGGTCAGAGTAAGTCCACATTATGGCCCCTTTATGCCACTATTACAGTAGATGCTGTTCCCCAACCCTAAACCCTAAACCCTAAACCTTAAACCCTAAACCCTAAACCCTAAACCCAAACCCTATTTTAATTATTAAGACCCCTACATCATCACCGTTGACTCATGCCTTGAAGTTGCAAGTCTCGAAGGAACCTTTGGAGGGAGAGCTGTCGGGGGCTTTCCGAAAATAGGGGGGCACAAATATAGCATCCTAAATAGTAGGATCCTTATAAAAAGGACCCCAAAATAAGGTACGCCTCATTTTCCGAAACTCTCATCTAGCTGTGGCGCCATAGGCTTCAGTTTTTGTTTGGGTCCCTAAACCCTAAACCCTAAACCTAGGACGTGATTTGCCTGTTGTACCAGGGGGGGCGGCTTGCTATACCGGCCATTGAGTTTCGGGCGTTGTCTGTGTAGTTATCAAAACTTAGGGTTTAGGGTTTAGGGTTTAGGGACTAGGGTCATTTTTAGATCCCCCAAATAGTACGGCACCCTTGTAAATTGACCCTAAGACGGGGACCCTACTAATTTAGAGAACTGCCCAGGTGAAGCCAAGAACGACAACTACTCCTGAAGCTTTGTAATCCCTAAACCCTAAAATTTAGAATATTATTCCCCAAGCTTGTAATCCTAAACCGTAAACCCTAGAATATTACTCCCCAAGCTTGTAATCCCTAAACCCTAAAACCCTAAACCCTAGAATATTACTCCCCAAGCTTGTAATCCTAAACCGTAAACTCTAGAATATTACTCCCCAAGCTTGTAATCCCTAAACCCTAAGACCCTAAACCCTAGAATATTACTCCCCAAGCTTGTAATCCCCAAACCCTAAACCCTAAACCCTAGAATATCCCCCCCCCCCCAAGCACCCTAAAACCCTAAACCCTAAACCCTAAACCCTACACCCTAAACCCTAAAACCCTAAAGCCCTAAAGCCCTAACCCTAAAACCCTAGAAGCTCGATGCTCCGCTCCCAGCTCCTATAACTTCTTTGTTTAGGGGCATTACCCATAGGCCCTTATAGTAGTTCCTTCTTGGGACATTTAGGTTTAGGGCTTATAGGGTTTAGGGTTTAGGGTTTAGGGCCTAATAGGTTCCTAAAGACAAGCCACAAAAAGGAACCACTCGGGGGCCTTTGGGTACCTGCATGCAAGACTCCCTGAAGTTCTCCAGCTCGCTCGAAAGCCTAAAGCAGAGAGGGTTCTGTAATTAATGTAGGGGCCTAAATAATTACCAATGCTATTGTTGGGATTCCTTAGTATAATTGTAGTATAATGGGCCCAAAACCCTATTCTAATTATTGAGGCCCCTAAATTATCAGGGCTTCATCCGGGTCTTGGAAGCTTTAAGATGTGCGCAGACCCTGAATGGTAAGTGTCGTTGTCGATTCCCTTGGTTTTCTCATCGAGCGATCCGCGCAATAAGCTGGTTTGTGCTCAAACCCGCATCGTTTTGGTTGGGAAATCCACCGTGAGGTGACAGCTGACGCACCTAAGCCCGATAGATAAGCCAGGACCTTGAAAGCAGAGCTCTGCCAGCTTAGACTGCCCTAGGTACCGATGTGCGATGTGTCGTACTTTGCTTTCTTGCTTCAGAGCTTAGGGCCTCAGCTCGAAGTAGTTTTGGGCCCTGTTGAAATCGACACCAAGTCCCTCATACCTCTTGGAACTTAGGGATCCCTCTTCCTTGTTGTCTCTTGGCCTCCCTAGCATGTTGAAAGGGAGCCTAGAAAAGTTGGATTCCGGATAGAAGGACCCGTTGGGATGATCTCCGAACAGTGTGAACTCCGAACCTCAAAAGCCCAAAGCCCGGTCCTCAGACCCTAAAGTAATATAGGGGCCTTAATGGCGGCCTTAATAATTGGAATAGGGTTTTGGGGCCCATTATATGCTATAAGTTTAATATGAAACCCCCGAAATAGTATTGATAATTATTTAGGCCCCTACATTACCTAAATCCTTAAATCCTAAGCCCTGTACACCCAGCGCCCCTAAACCAACACACCCTATACCTCTGAACCCCAAACCCCTCGACGGCTTTAGACCTCATTAACCCTAAACCCTAAACCCAAAGCCCTAGACCCTAAACCCTAGACCCTAAACCCTAAACCCTAGACCCTAAACCCTAAACCCTAAACCCCTAAACCCTAAACCCTAAACCCTAGACCCTAAACCCTATAAGACCCCGTTCAACACGAAGGTGAGAAAGGGCCGACGCCAAAGCAGACCAAAGAGGTGTCCAACAAAGCGTCAGGTTTTGAAACAGTGGGTTTAGGGTTTAGGGTGTAGGGTGTAGGGTTTGAAACAGGGTTTGAAAAAGTGGGTTTAGGGTTTAGAGTTTAGGGTGTAGGGTTTGAAACAGTGGGTTTAGGGTTTAGAGTTTAGGGTTTAGGGTTAGGGTTTAGGGTTTAGAGTGTACGGTTTCGGGTCAAGTTGGCCTTGTTGTCAGAGTGATATGGCGCATACTACAGCATCGCGAAAGTCTGCATGTACGCGGCTTACGTAGGCATAGACACTAGTGAAGTAACGAGACATGCTTGGTGCCTTTCGAACTTGTCTTGCAGTGTTGTTTACTCTAGCTTATTGACCGGATTGTCTTGCTGTTCCCCGCTGGCTGACAAGAGGTTTAGGGAGTTTAGGGTCTAGTCGTGGCGTGTGGGGCGCATCATAACTTAGCATTCTACTACTCCAATGAAATTAATACGCCTGAAATTGGCCACAGAAGCTGGCATTCCGGGATACCTTTTGTTGACTTTCCTTACGGTCTTGCAGATATAGGTCTTGTAGAACTACTTATGGTAATTAGCAAGACTGTTTTCGGAGGCGTCAAGTTGCAACCCGGTTAAAGGCCCTAGCCCAAGCTGGAATTGTTCTTCGTGGGGGCAAAGGCGCCAGACAAGGAAGACGAGCTTATGAGGCCGTTGAGAAACCCCTTAAACCATCTTAAACCTATACACCCGAAACCCAAGAACAAGAGGAGCTCGAGGCTCATGAATGCAGCAGGATTTGGGGCACCAGGCAACAAGACACCTACGGACGTCGTTAGGGGAGAAGAAGAACAAGCAACAAAAGCTGCCAAACCCGGACCCAAGCCATTGAATTCAATTCCTGTCGACCCAAAACCAAAGCCATGAGGTGCTGGCAACGCCATTGAATGTGGTACCTACAATGCTCTTGTCGGTCACTCAGTGACGCTCAGGGGCGACGGATCCTGTTTGCTGCAGCTACCCCCGGAGGCGCCAGTGGTCATAACGGCTGTAGAGGATCATAGCTACCAGTGTTTTGTGGAAGCCTGTAGTTGAGGGTTTGTGCTATAATAGGCGCTGGCAACCATCTCCTCTCGCGAAGTGGTGGTTTGTGTTTCCAACCTTACAGCTTACCTTGCGCCCTTCAGCGAGAACTCTTAAGCAACAGATCGTAAAGCTTCCAAGCTCTTAGGAACCCCCAAACCCCAAACCCCAGAACCCTAAACCGTATTATGGGGATGGTGGCTCCACGAGTATTTATATGTTGAGGCTGCTCGAATTCTGAATGCTGCATGCTGATGCTACATGTTCAGACCGCACGAATTCAGAATGCTGCATGTTTATGCTCGGTGAGTCTGAGTTGCATGTGCCATGCGAGCCCTGACTGCCGATCTTTCTGGGAACGGGCGGAACTCAGAATAACTGCAAGCCGACGGCTGGAGGAACAGGTAGTCTTGGCACCTGCACTGGACGGCGTGGTCGGCATACAAGACGAACGATGGCACGTGGCTCACCGGATGCCACAGGGGCAGTAGCCAAACCTGAGTGAAGCCTACAGATTGCCGGCTGCGTAGACCCTGCTCCCCACCTACTGCCCTGTGTTTTGTCGTCTTACTTAGGACGGTTCTAGGGCCTAGGGCTTATGCTTTGACAACAGGGGGCGAGGTGGCACCATAGCCGTCTTGTTGATTCAGCGACACATCTTTTGAAACAGTGATCAATGTCTCAACCAGCTGACGGAATGAGAAGGCTCGACTTTGTCCAATCTTGTTTAGGCTGCTATTAACTTCGGTTGCTCTGGACGTCCTCACTCTCTGCCAGCCCTCTAGTTGCAGTGGAGACAGAACTATGCGGAGCCTTGCCGGCC